CTACATTGTTTGGTGGAAGAATACTGTTTTTATTAATATCATTACACTTTATTTGCTCTGTTTTATTTTGTGAAACCTTACTACGTATATGGAATAACCGTTTTATAAAAGCAATAAGCCTCGTGAATGCCTAACAACGCCCCTTAGCTGTTATAAATTCACTGTAAACCACGGCTTCACGAGGCTTATTGCTTTAATAACCAGTAGCAATGGAGTAGGTATTTTCACTATTGGAATACGTGCTAGAATCTAATGAAAGTGCTAGTGACTAGTACTAATTCAGTGCTCACTATAGAAATAGGTGCTACTGGTATTTAATGAGTAGATTCTAGTAAATTTGAAAACGGACTACATACTAGTAATATAGAAAATAGTTCAAAATCAGTTTTATTTATGTATTCTGTTTTAACGGCTCCATTATGTTTTAATAATCAATATGATGAATACTGGGGACCTACAACATGTTTTATATTTGCTGTCTGTCTTATAATTTAATACAAGTTTATTATCGAAAATGGTAGTTATTGAATGTATAAAAAAGTGCGACAGAGGTTTACTGTTAAAATAGAAACATGGATGAAAATTTTTTTTGTGTTGTTACTACTATTTTAGGAAGCAAATTATACTGTACAATAGTAATAGCCTGTATGGTAGTATAATATATATACTGTCAATTTCTTCAAGTTAAACATTTTGGTGTGTGCATGATTTGATGATGGTTATCAAATGAAATGGTGAAACATAGACTTAAAAAAAAAATTTAAATAGCAGTCTGGTTTAATATTCATAGACACCAGTCCAGTATGCAGTTTGATATATTGTACTGCACTACTTTTGATTTATTCATAAGGTTATAAAGCTCTATGCTATATTGTTCAAATTTTGCTGCCCCAGGCTGATGATTACCGTTAGTTCAGTGGGCTCTTATGCCTCAGATTATCACACTGCCCAGCTGTAAATAATGTGTTTTCACTCTGCTCAGCACAAACTGCTTGCTTAATGGTTAGTACCGCAGGCTCTGTGATGTGAATGCATCTCTCATCTGTTTGACTGGCAGCCTGTGCAGATCAAGCCTGATGTCAGCGCTGACGACGGATCCGAGAAGCTGAAGGTTTTCCTGCGGATCCGTCCTCTGACTGAAGCAGAGCAGGTGAAGGAGTCGGACACACACGTGAAACACTGTTTTAAGTGAGGAAGGGCTTGTTTGGCTGACAGTGAAGTCTTTGTTGTGCTCCTCAGGGCTGTGTGAATGTGCAGTCCGAGGACAGTCTGCTTCTCCGAGCGCCCAAAGACTCCCGCAACATGAAGAGTGCCGAGAGAGGCGTCGCTCAGAGCCTGCACAAGTTCACCTTCACAAAGGTAATGCGTCCAACTAGGGCTGTGCGATATTGACAGAAAATAATATCTCGATATTTTATTGATACTGATAATTAGACGATATTTGGCTGAATGTGTTATTGTACTGGCGTCTTAAACTGACTCCTAAAGTTTTTGATATTCTTCATATTCTGTGTGGTGATCAGTTCACACGAATAGAAATTCATCTTTTTCAAAAAGTTCAAATTTTTACCTTTTATGGGCATTTTAATCATTTAACGGTTGATTCATTCAGGAACGAAACGCCGTCATGTTGCTCAGAGATGCAAAACCGTGCTGTGGCTGTGTTTGGAATTATTTTTATTGGCGAAATAGAGGAAAAACAGGCAATATGGTGTCTAAAATGTAAGTCTCTTAATTAACTTCTTGTTTATTGAACTGTTGTAAAACACCAATATCACATTTGTAATCATGCTAATTTTTGGCAGAAGGAACAGCACTCTTTGTGTGAAATTGATTGATTAACTATACGAGGTGGTATAAATATATAAATTTTCTGCCCC